GTTGTGTGGAAGAAGAATGAGCACCTACACCGTGTCGCTGCCCGGCCCCGGGCCCTGGGGCTTCAGGCTGCAGGGGGGCAAGGACTTCAACATGCCGCTGACCATCTCCAGGGTAGGAAATCGGACAGGAAACGCACTTTTTCACCTGCAGCTTCGCCCAATTTCTGTGTTTGGCTGAAAGATGTGAGTCTCTGATATCTGTGTCGCAGTCTGAGTCCTTAGTGGTGTTACAAAAGGGAACGAATCTAGAAAGCTGGGACGGTTTAAGATGCAAACCATTGTTGCATGTCCTGCCTTACTTCCTGTCATCTGTATTCTTTCAAAATAAAGCTCAAAATTCCCCTCAGCATTGTTACTGAAACTTTAATGTAGTGAAACACGTGAGCCTCGGGTCTGTTCGATGTGCTCGTGAGTCATTAAACTCAACTGAGTCCAGCTGAGGAGACGTGGCTGCTTTGGGACATAATCTCTGATGTGTGACCCCCCCCCAGGTCAGGTAGGGAGGCCGAAGCAGAGGTGGAGGCCTGAAACTGGAGCTGGTGTTGCTCTCGCCTCTCTGGACAGATGGAGAGACAAAGTTCCTGCAGCTCCACTGTAATCTGCTGGTGGGATGTTGATGACCTTTGACCTCTGTGTCGGGTTCTGTTTGGTGATGTGATGCCTGATGTGTTGGGACAAAAGCTGTGGCTGCAGCTTTGTGTAGCCTCTTGTTGGCAGTTTTGCATTTTTCACGTTGCATCAGTGCTGATTGTTTTTGTCCTCTTGCTGTTTTTTGGTGTCTCTGTGGGTTGTTTGGGTTTGCAGTGCAGCTCGTCTGCAGGATTTTGGAGATACTGCACAACTTATTTCTGTAGTTTTGCATCTAATTTTAGTTTCTTTTCCTTTTATGGTCATTAAATGTCTCTCTGGTATTTCTGCCTTTTGTTGCAGTTGTTGTGTAGTTATATTCTTTGGGTTTCTTTTCTTTTTAGTGATTTTGAGACTTTTTGTGGTTGTTAAATTCGGGGGTTTGTTTGTTTTTGCGTCTCTCCTGGTTCGTTCAGGTAATTCTGCGTCTTTTGTCAGGTTGTAAGTCGTCTTTTTGCAGGTCAGTTTGGCAGTTTTGTGTCTTTCTTGTAGTTCTAGCCTCTGACCCTTTCGGGTTGTTGTGTTTCTGTTTTTGTGCGTCTCTTTGTGATGGGCTCGGGTTCATTTTATGTTTCTTTCTGACTGATTTGCAGTTATTGTCCAGCCGACTCTGGTGGTTTTGTCCCCTGAGCTGTGATTACTGGGGTTCATATATGTTGCTGTGCTTTTATTCAAACTGTTTAACTTTGCAGGATGTTCCAGATGTTCATGTGAGCCTCCACACATTTAGTCTACAGATGTTTTGTGTTGTGTTTGCTGCTCTTCCATTGTTATTCACTGCATCTGTAAGTCTCTGCTGGCGGCTCCACAGTTTCCATCACTGCAATCACCTTAAACCGAGTCGTCCCACAGCAGAGGCAGACGCAGGTCCCCACAACATGACTGTGAACAGATTTAGGGCCCTACAACAGCAGCAGTGATAAAAACGCACACACACAGACACACACAGACACACACGCTGTGAGGACTCATTCATTCGGGGACGGCCGACCTTCAGCGCTCCCCCTGCTCAGCTGTTACACTC